CCCAAACGAGGTTATGTCGAAGGGCAGAGTCTCGTCTCGGCAGACAGCTACCCGACCCCGTTTTAATTGATTAGGTCACTAAGAGGAATTAATCAAATAGCTTAGTATAAATCTTATGGAACTCTCCTGTCATTCTGTTCATTCCTCCGGGTCGGGAAGATCACTCTACGGATTACTTCGGGAGTGTGCTGGTCAAACTCTCTGCCTCCGAGCAGAGAGGATCCCCAAACGAGGTTATGTCGAAGGGCAGAGTCTCGTCTCGGCAGACAGCTACCCGACCCCGTTTTAATTGATTGGTCACTAAGAGGAATTAATCAAATAGCTTAGTATAAATCTTATGGAACTCTCCTGTCATTCTGTTCATTCCTCCGGGTCGGGAAGATCACTCTACGGATTACTTCGGGAGTGTGCTGGTCAAACTCTCTGCCTCCGAGCAGAGAGGATCCCAAACGAGGTTATGTCGAAGGGCAGAGTCTCGTCTCGGCAGACAGCTACCCGACCCCGTTTTAATTGATTAGTCACTAAGAGGAATTAATCAAATAGCTTAGTATAAATCTTATGGAACTCTCCTGTCATTCTGTTCATTCCTCCGGGTCGGGAAGATCACTCTACGGATTACTTCGGAGTGTGCTGGTCAAACTCTCTGCCTCCGAGCAGAGAGGATCCCCAAACGAGGTTATGTCGAAGGGCAGAGTCTCGTCTCGGCAGACAGCTACCCGACCCCGTTTTAATTGATTGGTCACTAAGAGGAATTAATCAAATAGCTTAGTATAAATCTTATGGAACTCTCCTGTCATTCTGTTCATTCCTCCGGGTCGGGAAGATCACTCTACGGATTACTTCGGGAGTGTGCTGGTCAAACTCTCTGCCTCCGAGCAGAGAGGATCCCCAAACGAGGTTATGTCGAAGGGCAGAGTCTCGTCTCGGCAGACAGCTACCCGACCCCGTTTTAATTGATTAGTCACTAAGAGGAATTAATCAAATAGCTTAGTATAAATCTTATGGAACTCTCCTGTCATTCTGTTCATTCCTCCGGGTCGGGAAGATCACTCTACGGATTACTTCGGAGTGTGCTGGTCAAACTCTCTGCCTCCGAGCAAGGGCAGAGTCTCGTCTCGGCAGACCCCAAACGAGGTTATGTCGAAGGGCAGAGTCTCGTCTCGGCAGACAGCTACCCGACCCCGTTTTAATTGATTAGTTACTAAGAGGAATTAATCAAATAGCTTAGTATAAATCTTATGGAACTCTCCTGTCATTCTGTTCATTCCTCCGGGTCGGGAAGATCACTCTACGGATTACTTCGGGAGTGTGCTGGTCAAACTCACTGCCTCCGAGCAGAGAGGATCCCCAAACGAGGTTATGTCGAAGGGCAGAGTCTCGTCTCGGCAGACAGCTACCCGACCCCGGTTTAATTGGTTAGTTACTAAGCGGAATTAATCAAATAGCTTAGTATAAATCTTATGGAACTCTCCTGTCATTCTGTTCATTCCTCCGGGTCGGGAAGATCACTCTACGGATTACTTCGGGAGTGTGCTGGTCAAACTCACTGCCTCCGAGCAGAGAGGATCCCCAAACGAGGTTATGTCGAAGGGCAGAGTCTCGTCTCGGCAGACAGCTACCCGACCCCGTTTTAATTGATTAGTTATTAAGAGGAATTAATCAAAGAGCTTAGTATAAATCTTATGGAACTCTCCTGTCATTCTGTTCATTCCTCCGGGTCGGGAAGATCACTCTACGGATTACTTCGGGGAGTGTGCTGGTCAAACTCTCTGCCTCCGAGCAGAGAGGATCCCCAAACGAGGTTATGTCGAAGGGCAGAGTCTCGTCTCGGCAGACAGCTACCCGACCCGTTTTAATTGATTAGTCACTAAGAGGAATTAATCAAATAGCTTAGTTATAAATCTTTCATTCCTCCGGAACTCTCCTGTTATTCTGTTCATTCCTCCGGGTCGGGATGTCGAAGATCACTCTACGGATTACTTAATCAAATAGATAAATCTTATGGAACTCTCCTGTGTTCATTCCTCCGGGTCAAATCACTCTACGGATTACTTCGCCTCTGAGCAGAGAGGATCCCCAAACGAGGTTATGTCGAAGGGCAGAGTCTCGTCTCGGCAGACAGCTACCCGACCCCGTTTTAATTGGTTAGTTACTAAGCGGAATTAATCAAATAGCTTAGTATAAATCTTATGGAACTCTCCTGTCATTCTGTTCATTCATTTCATTTGCATGTCATTCGCACCAGTTATGTTTCATTTGTTTTGACGCGTTGATTTCCAGTGCAGCCATTTTTCTCAAGACAAGCGACGTCTGTACAAAGACTTTTAATATTTTTATACTTGTATCCAATTTTTAAGCATAACTTGAAGAATACAGTCAAATTTTTGAATTTTCTAATGCCCATAATTTATTTTTTATCCTTCCCCTCCCTTATAGAGACAGAGAGAGAGAGCTTCTTATTTTTGAGGAGTAGATGGGTCTTACTAACAACTTTCTTTTTTCAGTTTGTTTTCGGGGTCATCACCCACACCCCACATCATTTCATAACACTGATAGAATTTTTATACAATACATATTAAAAGTTTAAGTCATGTTAGGGCTCCTGTGTGTGTGAGGTATTTTGGTGTATGTAGAAGCGAATGGTGACGAATAGATGGTTATGATGAATGAATAAACAAATGAATGGGTCGTGAATCTGATTAGCGAGGTATAAGATAGTGACGACCAGCCTAGACCCATCCTTCCCCTTTTTTCGGCCTTCTACCAGAATTACTGTATTTAATCAGTATTAAATCGTAGACAGGCATACTGTCAAAGTCGAAATATTGATGAACATTGATATTGTTTTCTTTTAGTTTATTTTTTAATCGCGTTCTTCTCAAAGATTAATATTATTATTATTATTATTATTTCCTTTGGTTTCTGTTGTATACACATTTCCGGGACCCAAACAGAGATCTAAGGTCAGAAATGGAATCATGAAATTTTTAACTGAGCATTTTTGAAAAAAAAAAAATCACACATTTCAGGTTTGGTTTATTTTGTTTTACGGCAAATCAACCTCAATGGGTTATTTAAGACCGACACGATTTTTATTGCTGGTAATATTTGTGTTAAAAAATGTATTGCTGGTAATATTTTTTCTTAAATAAAGGATTGCTGGTAATATTTTTGTTTAAATAAAGGATTGCTGGTAATATATTTTTCCTAAAAAATGTATTGCTGGTAATATTTTTTCCTAAATAAAGGATTGCTGGTAATATTTTTTCCTCAAAAATATATTGCTGGTAATATTTTTTTTTCCTTCATAAATGTATTACTGGTAGTAAAACCTATTTTTACACTTTCATAGTGTTTTGACCCTAGTTTGGGGGTTAAATATTTGCCCGTAGCTGGGACCCTAATATGTCCTACCAGCCAGGGTCAAGGTGAACCTAAAACACCAACAATTAAGAGGTGGTTTTACACTCCTCAAAACCTCCTGATTAGACGCCTTGCTGTTGGATGTAGTTTATCGTCATACCCAGGACAGCACACATTTTACATAGGTAAAACAATTTGTAAGGTCTGGCTGTACTTATTATCATTATTATTGTTATTTTTTTTTCAAAAGATTACCGACCATAATTAGTATTATCCTTTGATGCCAAATAAATCACGGGTCTTTTATTGTACATGCCTTGCAGAGTAAAGTGTATTCATTTCGTAACACTAAGTAGATGTATGTTTTGACCTGTGCTATTTTTCTTTGAAAGCCTGACATTTATTTTTACGTTTTATACGTGTTGCTTTAGGTAGAGTCACCTTTAAATTAGCTGATCTATTCTTATCGGGTCTAGTCAATCTACAGCGGAACTATCGAACTAATGACATTTTCTGAATGGACGCTCACGCGCATTACAACTGACTGTGTCGAAGGCGAGACGTCATCATGATATTTTCTTTCTCTCTTTACTTTTCTCTTTAAAGCATTTCGCCTGCTTGTTTTTTTTTTTTTTAATTTTCGTCTACCGGCCTGAATGTTCGAGAAATCTTATTAAAGAAAAATTTACGCTCTTCTTTAAAAAAATTCTCAAACATTCAGGGCGGCAGACGAAAATAAATATATATACAGTTTAACAAATAAAGGGAGTGTTTACTCAAATACAAGTATCCACTAAAAATAACGCTTAAAGTGATAATATATATATATATATATATATATATATATATATATATATATATACTTCTTCTTCTTAGCTTACACCTTCTGTCCTTAACTTCCGATATCGTAGCATGATAATAGTAGTGTGGTGTGGTTTGAGGAACACTTGTTACCCAGCCACGGTGTTTACTCATTCCCCCACGAGAATGAGATGTGACACAAGGTCGGATTAATGTCGGGACCCAAGCGCGTACACTCGGGCAGGAACAAAAATTTCCCTCAGCCCCCGTCGGTTGCGCTGGCCTCGGTGCGGGCAGCTGTTCCCCAGGGCTGGGCACCTCTTCAGTATAATTTTCCTGAGTTGCGACCCTGTCCTTTGACTGGGTCATCCGTGAGCGCACTCTGTCCAAGGACAGAGACGAAACTGAGAGATGATAAATAGTAATTTACGCGGTATTTACTTGACTCCTTCCCCCCACGAGGTCAGGTTGTTTCACAAGGTCGGTTTAATGTGGGGAGCCCGAGCGCGTACACCCGGGCAAGGAACAAAAACTCCCCGAGCCTACGCAACCGTCGATTGCGCTGGCCTCGGTGCGTGCACCGATCCTTTTCTCTAGTGCAATGAGAAGGCGCGGCGTCGGGCAGCTGTTCCCCAGGGACAGACACCTCTCAGTATAATTTTCCTCAATTGCGGCCCTGGCCTTTGACGGAGTCGCCTCTGAGCGCACTCTGTCTAAGGACAGAGACACAACTGAGAGATGATAAATAATGTGCATAAATTACTTATAGTAATTTACGCAATTACTACCACCGGAAGAGACCTAGTGGTCGAAACCACTGTAGTGTGCGGTAATATATGTGTTTTTTGGGTTTTTTTTTACCTTTTTTATTGTATTCGCTTGCTCTGTATGTCTGTTTGTCCAGGCGGCTGCATTGGACCCTTTATTATACATTCGTTTTTTTGTACGGTAGTTTTTCCGGCCTTTTAACATATTTTGTGTTATCTATCTATCTATCTATCAGTTCTCAGCTGAGTATGTTCGTATCTATCTATCTATCTATCTATCTATCTATCAGTTCTCAGCTGAGTATCTATCTATCTATCTATCAGTTCTCAGCTATGCTCGTATCTATCTATCTATCTATCTATCTATCCATCCGTTCTCAGCTGAGTATGTTCGTATCTATCTATCTATCTATCTATCAGTTCTCAGCTGAGTATCTATCTATCTATCTATCTATCTATCTATCAGTTCTCAGCTATGCTATCTATCTATCTATCTTCTATCTGTTCTCAGCTGAGTATGTTCGTATCTATCTATCTATCTATCTATCTATCAGTTCTCAGCTATGCTCGTATCTATCTATCTATCTATCTATCTATCTATCTATCTATCTGTTCTCAGCTATGTTCTATCATTCTATCTATCTATCTATCTATCTATCTATCTATCAGTTCTCAGCTGAGTATGTTCGTATCTATCTATCTATCTATCTATCTATCAGTTCTCAGCTGAGTATCTATCTATCTATCTATCTATCAGTTCTCAGCTATGCTCGTATCTATCTATCTATCTATCTATCTGTTCTCAGCTGAGTATGTTCGTCTCATCTATCTATCTATCTATCTATCTATCTATCTATCTATCAGTTCTCAGCTGAGTATGTTCGTATCTATCTATCTATCTATCTATCTATCTATCAGTTCTCATCTGTTCTATCTATCTATCTATCTATCTATCTATCTATCTATCAGTTCTCAGCTCAGTATGTTCGTATCTATCTATCTATCTATCTATCTATCTATCTATCATGTACAGACAACCTGTTTTGCTGTATCAGTGTGGCTAGACATCCGATTGCTTCAAGCTGTCTCTTCCCGATGTTAAGTATAATATTCTTCTTGTTTCCATTTTCTCTAAAACTTCATCATTTCTCATGATGTTCGTTCCATAGTATTCCCCGTATCCTTTTAGTAGATCCAAATTTCCTATGCTTCATATTTGTCCTTCATCTTTGAGGAGATTGTCTAACATTCACTGCTCATATAGGATGATGGATATTGCATAAAAGTTCGCTATTCTTTTGTTTTTCTAACGATATTTTTCAGTTTCTAATGTTTGCTTCGCTTTTGGAGGACATTTTTTGCTATGCTAACGTGTCACTGGATTTCAGTGTCGCATTTTCTGTCCTCTGTTAACACACTTCCAAGATCTGTCTATATTTCTGAGATGAGGCATTATGTACACTATTTACATCATTCGGACTATTGTCTTCATCTTTGTCGCCATATTTATTACAACGTTTCGGCCCTGCAGTATCTGTCTATATTTCTGAGATGAGGCATTATGTACACTATTTATATTATTCGGACCATTGTCTTCATCTTTTGTCGCCATATTTATTACAACGTTTCGGCCTTTCAGTATATATCTATATTTCTGAGATGAGGCATTATGTACACTATTTACATCATTCGGACTATTGTCTTCATCTTTGTCGCCATATTTATTACAACGTTTCGGCCCTGCAGTATCTGTCTATATTTCTGAGATGAGGCATTATGTACACTATTTATATTATTCGGACCATTGTCTTCATCTTTGTCGCCATATTTATTACAACGTTTCGGCCTTTCAGTATATATCTATATTTCTGAGATGAGGCATTATGTACACTATTTACATCATTCGGACTATTGTCTTCATCTTTGTCGCCATATTTATTACAACGTTTCGGCCCTGCAGTATCTGTCTATATTTCTGAGATGAGGCATTATGTACACTATTTATATTATTCGGACTATTGTCTTCATCTTTGTCGCCATATTTATTACAACGTTTCGGCCTTTCAGTATATATCTATATTTCTGAGATGAGGCATTATGTACACTATTTACATCATTCGGACTATTGTCTTCATCTTTGTCGCCATATTTATTACAACGTTTCGGCCCTGCAGTATCTGTCTATATTTCTGAGATGAGGCATTATGTACACTATTTATATTATTCGCACCATTGTCTTCATCTTTGTCGCCATATTTATTACAACGTTTCGGCCTTTCAGTATATATCTATATTTCTGAGATGAGGTATTATGTACACTATTTACATCATTCGGACTATTGTCTTCATCTTTGTCGCCATATTTATTACAACGTTTCGGCCTTTCAGTATATATCTATATTTCTGAGATGAAGCATTATGTACATTATTTACATTATTCGGACTTTTGAACACACACTCTTTGGGTCCTGTCACTGGGTCTAACTAACGCCTTTATCCACTCGGACCCGGTTAAGGCAATGGAGAACTTGGAGAGGGGAATTAACAGAAGATAACTGACATTCATTAAACATGGCACGTGGAACTAGAACAGTCTACCTCAGTGAGCGAAATAAAGATTTCAATTCGACATTCCAACCACCTGAAGGCCGGCGTGTACAACGGCCGAAACGTTGTAATAAATATGGCGACAAAGATGAGGACAATAGTCCGAATAATGTAAATAGTGTACTTCCAAGACATCTTAAGTGTTGAACTTGCTTGGTTTTATCTCCAATTTGTAATAATCTCTCCAATATTGTGGTACTGACTATAACTTGAGGATATTACAATGGCGAAACTAGCCATTGATAGCCAAAACATCTTGGTTGAATCTCTACTTAAACTGAGTTCAATCAGACGCTGGTCCGTATACGTGGGCTGCTAGTTCCAATCCACCACTGAACGCCAACAATGTAGTATAAAACAGGGCTTTATAACGAGTATATTTACAGTATGCGCCCATTAAGCCATTCTATTTTCAGATCGTTTGACTTTACGACTAAGAAAGAAAGCGTCGGTACGCTTTTTGGAAAATGTCAGACGGTGAAGAAATAGAACAGAAATCGTCCATTTACACTTTTCTCTTAGCCGATGCGCAACTCTTTGGTTGACTAAAATATAGGATATAAGACACATATATCTATCGCTTGAATATATATATATATATATATATATATATATATATATATATATATATATATATATATAAAGTAGCACAGTGAGTTCAGGTGGTAAGAAACTTGTTCTCGATGTATAATAACAGAGTGAAAAGTTACAACAATTTATAACAATAATAAATATACATTTTTCCCTTTAGTGTTGAGCATAACTCTCCGATCTTAGATATTGCCCATGTACTGCTTGACAAAAAAACCTTTCATGGCGACCGTGAAATCGCTATCTATTTCTTACACGAAAATCTCTCTATTTTTCTAATCACCTTTCTTTCTTTGCATTTCTTTTTTTCTTTCTTTCTTTCTTTTTTTGTGCATCATCTCACTAATCTTTCTTTCTTTCATTGTGCATTATCTACTTTTTCTTTCTTTTTTCTTTTTTCTTTCTTTCTAATCATTATTTTTCTTTCTTTTTTAATGCTTTCTTTCTTTCATTGTGCATTATCTCACTAATCTTTCTTTCTTTCATCGTGCATTATCTTCTTTTTCTTTCTTTCTTTCTTTCTTTCTTTTTTTCTTTCTAATTATTATTTTTCTTTCTTTTTAATGCTTTCTTTCTTTGTATATTATGTTCCTTCCTTCCTTCCTTTCTTTCTTTCTTTCTTTCTTTCTTTCTTTGTGCATTACCTCTCCCTTCTTTCTTTTCTTTTCTTTCTTTCTTTCTTTCTAATTATTATTTTTCTTTCTTTTTAATGCTTTCTTTCTTTGTATATTATGTTTCCTTCCTTCCTTCTTCCTTCATTCCTTTTTTCTTTTTTCTTTCTTTCTTTCTTTCTTTCTTTCTTTTCTTTCTTTGTGCATTACCTCTCCTTCTTTCTCTTTCTTTCTTTCTTTTCTTTCTTTCTTTGTTTCTTTCTTTCTTTCTTTGCATTTTTCCTTTTTCCTTCTTTTCTTTCTTTTGTACTTTTTTTTTTTTTTTTTTCTTTTTTCTTTCTTTCTTTCTTTGTGCATTACCTCTCCTTTCTTTCTTTCTTTCTTTCTTTCTTTCTTTGTGCATTACCTCTTCTTTCTTTCTTTCCTTTTTTCTTTTTTCTTTCTTTCTTTCTTTGTGCATTACCTCTCCTTTCTTTCTTTCTTTCTTTCTTTGTGCATTACCTCTCCTTTCTTTCTTTCTTTCTTTCTTTCTTTCTTTCTTTCTTTCTTTGTATGTATTATCTTTCTTTATCACTCTTGTGCATTATCTTCATTTTCTTTATTTCTTTTCATTCCATTTGTATTCTTTTTAGATTATATTTTTCTATATTTATGCTTTTTTTCTTTTCATTCCTTCTATTTTTCATTAGTTTCTATTTTTCAACACATTGTTTTCCTTCCAGTTTCCTTTCCTTTACTTTATTTATTTATTTATTTATTTCTATGTTTATTTAACAAATATACCGCATCAGTCTTTAACATCTGACCGCAGTCCCAAAACACATCCTTCCACGACGACCGTGACAATTCTACACAGTTTTCCTGCCTTTCAAACCAATATCTATATCTCAACTCTCCATCTTTTGTCTGGTATTTTCCTGCTACGTCCAATGAGGTACAATGACCTTATTGTTGCGACATTTTTTTGATAATGGCCCTCCACAAGCTGTGAAGACTGTACTCGTTCGGCCTTTGGGACTGCGACCCTCACCCAGTAAATAAGCTCACCTAACGTCGGCTTACCGGTGATCGAGTGAACACTCGTGTGTCTTTTCACGCTTGTGTACGAAAGTCCCATCTGATTTGTGTGCGCCATTGCATAAAGCCGCGATGAATGGTAATAATTCCATAGCAGACCTCGGAGATATCTATAATTTGTTTCTTTCAATTTAATAACATATTTCTTAAGGACGTAAGCGATCATGGATTTCCACAAACTTCCTTTTTTCATTACTTGGGATTTAATACAATTATCCACCTCCCACTTATCAAAATAATCTAAAAAGATCTTCGTCCCGTTCTCCTTAATCTCGGCTAAGGGGTTTCAATAGCATTTTTAATCTTGCGGGTGATATCTGGATTGTGGTAGAGTTGACAGAGCTGAGTAAGGCGATGTTTTCTTAAAAAATTCTCTACTTGATTGGTCATCGCACTTGTCATCGTCACCGTCGTCATTGTATACCGTTCTTTCACACGAAGTCGATTGGTTCCTTTCATGGTGGAAGGGTTCCCATCGATGATAAAGCCAACAAGCCAACGGCAGTATTATTCATAAATAGCGCATCTTTAAAAAAACCCTGGATGGCAGTATGCTATATGCAACCGTAAAAAATTACAAAAGTCCACTTAGTGGCGTTTCAATACCGACTGAGTATCTCACTGAGTGTAACTTATATATATATATATATATATATATATATATATATATATATATATATATATATTTCGATCCGCTTAGGTGAAACCTGGGTAGGTTTGTCTGACTCACTAGGTGTATCTAGGTCTGCTCACGGTTGTATTGAGCTCTTTTTTTGTTA